GATTATGGGGCAAAATGAAGAAGTTAGTCCATTGGAAGGTCTTCCAAATGATATCTACTCCCTGGGATGCGTCTTTGGCTTTATCATTACTAAAGGTTTAGATGTTCTTGATGGGAATTACAGATCGGATCAAGCAAAGACCATCCTTGCAACTTTCCCTTTGGCGAACCAGTTTTTTAGATCTCATTCATTATCATAAATCTTCCAAAGTTGCTTGAGAACCGGCTTTACTTTTCTCTGTGGTATATCCAGTTTCTCCATAGCGTTGCAAGTCAGCTTAATACGAGAATTTGGTGCCATTCTTGTGCAAAGAAAACAAAGCTTAATCCATCACAACTCACATGAACAATGCTGAGAAACTTTTTTTTTTAATTATTTTTTTTCTGAATATCAATTGGCTCATCTATTTTTAGGATTTTAAAAAGTTTGGATCATTTAAAAAGAACCAATAAAACCGATTTTAGAATATGAGATTTGACTTAAATAAAAGAGTATGAATATTAGTTTTATTGGCTGGTCCAAACTCTTTGCTAATTGTTCCAATGAGTGAAATGATAAAAAAAATTTATACAATTTTTCTAGACTTTAATTGCATATATTTAAATGTGGCAAATGTGTTACATATTATATGAAAACCTAAGAAAAAAAAACTAATATCAGTATAACTGTGAAAAGATAAGTATTAACTGTGACATTAGAATCCCATAAATAAAGAGATTAATCAGTAAACCAATATCAATATTAACCGTCAAAATATGAGTATTAACCATGACATTAGAAACTCATAAATTAAGATATTAATCAGTATATAGTTTCGAGGGAACATATGGAAATGATAAAAGGGTCTAGATCAACAGAAAGTCCAATTAAAATTCTAATTATTTGTATTAAGAAATAAAAGAATTTCAATAAATTTTAGTTATTTCACATTTTGTAATAATTAGTTTAGTCATTGATACTTATTCTTATAACAAAGTAAATATCATATATAATAATTTGAATACTCTAATACGTATTTCATCATTCCGCAAATTTTAAAAAATTTTGCACCTCAGTTACTTTTTTCCACATCTTAACATTTTTCTCTGCGTTTATGCGATGGTACCGATCGGAATCTAATCTCTCAATCTTTACTGTACACCGACAAACACGTTAATAATGAGAATGTAAATGGGCTCAGTAATGAAAGTTTAAAGTCCCATGTATAAATGAGCCGTTAATGAAAGTTTTAGAGGCCTATTTATATATCTCTCTTTTGACGGTCCAGATTTCATTTCTCACAATCTTTACTGGTGCATATGGTGGCTATCCCGCTGGTTATACCTCTCCACAAGCACCAGCACCTGTGCCACAAGCTGCTGCTTATGGCGAATATCCTGCTCAGGTAACCAATGTTCTTAATAAATGTTTAGAAGACCTAGCCTAGCCACGAGATACTAATGGAATCATTCCTTTGTGAAAACAGGTATATCCAGCACAGAGTTACGCACCTCCTGTTGCCACTGCAGCACCAGTGGCTGCGCCGGTCCAGCAACCCGCTACTGCTGCTCCTCAAGCTTACTACAACACTTACTACTGAGCCTGTTAGTGTTGTTTTAGTTTTCCTTCCTTGGCTACTCAAGTTTAGTGTCTGAATGTTTACATGTCTACATTTTCGATCAGTGACATTAGATTTACTTTTCAGTTGCTTGATCCGTAGAAGGTTCTTGAATTTTCGCTGGTAAATGATACATATTGTAACCGGAGACGTTTGAATCAATGAATCGGTTAGTTCGGTTTAAATGATGTCAGTTTTTTTTTTTTTTTGGTCAATTAATTAGCTTTTTTTTTTTGTTGGAACATGGTCAATTAATTAGCAGGAAATTGTTTTTGAAGAAAGTCGGAACAGTAACGACATCCGCGCGTTATTTCTTACACATTCTCGTATTTGTAACGACAAAACCGGTCAATCTATAACCTTTCTTACAAGCAAAAACATAGTTTGTCTGTCGTGAAAACAAATGGATAACTTATTCCCCAAGAAGTTATACAACATGTTTCTCTAGTTCGAAGAAATTTTATTTTGCTTTTTGGTTCTTTTGTGTTTTCCAAAAGGCTGCCATTTTAATCTCCCTCATTAGAATTTCTTTAGATCAGCTAGAGGAATGTTAGGTTACAAATGTCTCCACTTTGACAATGTCAGAGCTTTGCCGCCATTGAAGGACCCTGAAACCTTCTCTCTTCCAGCCCCTATCCCACAATGGCCTCCAGGTAACTCAGTTTCCAATGTCTTCTCGTCACAGATTTCAAATATTATGTTTTCAATTTTAGGTTTCCTCAGCTAAGATGGTTTTTGATCCTCCATCTAATACCTATTGCCTAGAATCAGATCTCTAGTTCTCAACTTCTTGAAACCTATTAATCCATGAGATCTTGAAACGTGATTCCAACAAATGGTTTATTAGAATCTTTCTTTAAGATTGCGTTTTTAACAATATCTATCCTTTGAAACTGATCATCAGGTCAAGGCTTTGGCTCTGGAACAATTAATCTCGGCAAGCTAGAAGTCATCCAAATCACGGACTTTGAATTCATATGGCGATACAGATCCACAGAGAACAATAACAAGTGCATTTCATTCTACAAACCAAAAGGATCATTACCTAAAGATTTCCATTGCTTAGGTCACTACTGTCAATCTGATTCTCATCCCTTGAGAGGTTATCTTCTCGCGGCAAGAGATTTAGTATCTTCAACAGAACAGGAACCTGCATTAGTGAAACCTCTTGATTTCACACCGGTCTGGAGCTCGAATGATGGTTACTTCTGGTTACCACAGCCTCCTGAAGGTTATAGATCAATGGGTTTTGTTGTCACAAAGAGTTCCAAGAAACCAGAGTTGAATGAAGTTAGATGTGTAAGAGCTGATCTTACTGATAAATGTGAAACACACAAACTCATTGTCACAGCCGTTTCAGAATCTTTACATGTTCCTTTGTTTATATGGTTTACTCGTCCTTCAGACCGTGGAATGTGGGGGAAAGGTGTCTCTACAGGTACTTTCTTCTGCAGAACTCGCCTTGTCTCAAGAGAACAACATCTCAGCATCTCTTGTCTGAAAAACCTAGATTCGGGTTTACACGCAATGCCAAACGTTGATCAGATACAAGCTCTGATACAACACTACGGTCCTACACTAATCTTCCACCCTGATGAAACCTACTTACCATCTTCCGTCTCGTGGTTCTTCAACAACGGTGCAGTCCTCTGTCAGAAGAATAATCCGATTTGCGAACTTATCGATGAAAACGGCTCGAACTTGCCTCAAGGAGGAAGCAACGACAAGCAATACTGGATCGACTTGCCGTTTGATGATGATCACGTCAAGAGAGGAAACATCGAAAGCTCGAAACTTTACGTGCACGTCAAGCCAGCTCTTGGAGGAACGTTCACGGATCTTGTCTTCTGGATCTTCTGTCCTTTCAATGGACCAGCTACTTTAAAGCTAGGTCTCTTCGATGTCTCGTTGATCAGTATAGGCCAACACGTCTGCGACTGGGAACATTTCACTCTCAGAATCAGCAACTTGTCAGGTGAACTTTATTTTTTTTTTGGAAAATCAAGAGGTTCGAGCCAAATCCTGTAATTTCCATAGACTCGAAACCACAATATATAATATTAGTTTCATCCCAGTTAAGCTTAGTCATTTGGCGTATTAATTCAGGTATTTTGGATATCAGATAATTCATGTAGGAGTTAGAGGATCCATTTACTTGCCTATTTTCCGTTTGGTTCTAGTAGTTTTGGTTTCAGTTCGGATAGTAAAATTAGAAACCGAAAAGTATCCATTTAATTTTGGTTCGGTTATTTCGGGTAGTTCAGGTATGAGTTAAATGATTCATTTACTTCGGTTATTTCGGTTTGGGTAATTTCGAATTCAGTTCGGATAGTAAAACTAGGAACCGAAGAATATCCATTTAGTTCCGGTTCAGTTATTTCGGGTAGTTCATGTAATATCAGAGTAATTTGGTCAATAGATTTGGAGACCTCTAGACAGTTGTCATGATACTTTCCTGTTGAGCTAATGACTTCTTGTTTCTTAGGTGAACTCTACTCAATCTACTTCTCTCAACACAGTGGCGGCGAATGGATCGAATCTCACGACCTAGAATTCATCACCGGAACCAACAAAGCCCTTGTGTACTCGTCAAGACACGGTCACGCGAGCTTTCCTAAAGCTGGTGTTTACTTACAAGGATCAACGACGCTTGGGATTGGGATAAGGAACGACACTGCACGGAGCGATCTTGTAGTTGATTCAAGCTCACAGTACGAGATCGTTGCGGCGGAGTATCTTTCGGTGGTGAAGGAGCCGCCGTGGCTGCAGTATATGAGAGAGTGGGGGCCAAAGATTGTGTACGACTCGACGGAGGAGATTGAGAAGTTGGCGAGTAGGTTTCCGAGGACGGTTGGTGTAACGTTGGGTAACGTGTTGAGGAAGCTTCCGATGGAGTTATCTGGTGAGGAAGGTCCTACGGGACCTAAGGAGAAGAATAACTGGTACGGTGATGAAAGGTGGTGAAAAAACTGTAAAACAGTAAAAATAAAAAGTGAAGAAAAAAATTGATTGGAAAAAAAGAAAGAAGAAGCTTAATTTACGTAAAGCATTAATTACGCAAGGGTTTTTTTAATTAAACGATTTAGCGTAGGATTAACGATAAGACTTAAAGTTTGTTGTCGGAAGAAAGAGTATATATGTGGGGTCACATATTGTTTTATTTGAATTTAATTTAATTAATTAACAGTTTATTTAGACGAACAAACCCCGACCAAACCCACCATTCGTGTACCGTTTCCTCTTTATTCTCTCTCTCTTTATGAGAAAGATCGTTTCTTTTGATCTGTGAAGAGAAACTTGTTGTCTCTAAAGGAATCTAAAAGTTGAAACCTTTTTGTTTGTTTGGTTTTGATTGAATTTTGAATTCAAGCTTATTTCTTCTCTATTGATTGATTTTGGGATGATGAGTGGTTTTCGAGATGTTTGTTCATCATCAAGTGGTTCTGTGAATGTGATGATCGGAGTATCACCAGCTGAAGAAAGAGACGACAACCCCGCCGCTGCTCTCTCTTCGGAGGATTCGTCTTCCCCGGAGGAGACGGTGAGAGGAGCAGAGCTCGACTTAGCTCTTGGTCTTAGCATTGGTTTAAACAGTCGTAGGAATCATCATCACTCAAAGGTTCGGTCTTTTTCTTCATCTTTGGCTTCCTCCTCTTCTTCTCTGACTAGAGAAAGTGGAACCAAACGGTCTGCTGATTCCTCTGCGGCTGCCTCAAAAGGGTAAAAATTCATTTTCATAGACTTTATATTATACCCTCAATATATGTATATGATTTAGTCTCAGATTTGACTTTTTAGACCTCTTTGTATGGTGATGTTGAGTTAATCATAGGATCAGATGGATAATCTGAAATGTTTTGAATTAAACTTGTGGAATTACTTTTTTTTAATGTTACAATTGTGTCTTTTGGTAATGGGAGCAGACCTGTTGCTATAGGGTGGCCGCCTCTAAGGACTTACAGAATCAACAGTTTGGTCAACAACCAAGCAAAGTCCTTAGCCACTGAAGACGACATTCAAAAGGACACAACAAAAAACGGTGTGAAGAAGGATGATGTTGGATTCATCAAATCTTCAATGCTTGTGAAGGTTACAATGGATGGAGTTATAATTGGAAGGAAGATTGATCTCAATGCTCTTGATTCTTATGAAGCCTTGGCTAAAACTTTGGAACAAATGTTTTTCCACACACCTTCTTCTGTAACAACAAGTCAGTTATATTCTTCATTCCCTTGTATTTTTCTTACTTTCGTTGTGGTGGGATCGGTTATGATTGATCAAATTTTGTAGGATGCAAGGGTTCAGAACTGCTGGATGGTTCATCAGAACATATCATAACGTATCAAGATAAAGACGGAGATTGGATGCTTGTAGGAGATGTTCCTTGGCAGTAATGATACTTTGTCCCTAGCTAATATCTTCCACGTTTGTCATCTGTATTTGTTATGCTTCCTCATGTTTTTTTTTTTAACTATCTTTCTCAGGATGTTCCTTGGGTCTGTGAAAAGACTGAGAATCATGAGAAGAGCAGGTGAAACTGGAGGTGGCAAGTAAGGATTCATCTTCTCTGAGAAAACATTCTCAGCTCAACATTTCTTATAATCCAGCTGAAAGGGTGAAAGATGATGGAACATGGAGATAAAAAGATACAAGAACACTTATATATTGGTTTTACTCGAGAACCAAAGTTTATGTTAACCTTGGTCTGTAAATTGGTAAAATCTTGTTCAGATAATCACATATATATATATATATACACATGTTTTTTATGAGTATAAAGGGTGGTCTGTGAATATCAAACAAAGTTTCATTTATAAGAATATGAAAAAAATGAAATAATACAGCTAGTGCTGAGAATAACAGCAACCATCAAATCAGCTTCACTCACAGCTAAAATGTAGCTTCCTTACTGTTTACTACTTTTCCTTAACTTTTAATATTCAGAGACTCTGTTTGAGATAAACAACACAGGTTTGTGTTTCATGTCTCTTTAATTCATTTAAATCTCTCTAAGGTCTATAAATTGGTAAAATATTGTTCAGATTATCACATATATATTCATGTAGTTATGAGTCTGAGAAGTATCAGTGGTTTGTGAATTATCAAACAAAAGTTTCATTTATAAGAATCTGAAAAAAATGAAATACAGCTAATGCTGAGAATAACAACAACAACAATCAATAAATCAACTTCACTCACAACTCAAGTGTAGCTTTCCTTATTGTTTACTACTCTTCCTTAAGGTTTTTTATAGCTTAAAAAACCCTAAAATCTACCATTGAGAGGCTTAACACAAACTCCTGAACACAAAGCTCAATGATTCTTCAAAGTCACAGAGATTGGACTCCTAACACGCTGCATCAAATCCCTAGAGTTGACCCAAGTCAACTGTCCATCAGCAAAGTTAGCACCCACCTTCTCTCCTTTACTTCCCTTCTTCAACACAAACCAAACTCTATAGCTCAACGTTTGCTCCACATGACTAAACACAAGCCTCTTAGGCTTTACAATCACATTGACCCCTTTAGGAGCCTTAACATTCACAGTGTAGATTGACTTAGGACTCCCAACGTTAGTCACACGCCTTGTGATCATCTCCTTACTCTTCCCACCTCTAAAAACCACAGAAATGGACGGATAATTAAGACTAAAACCAGGGCTTCTCCTCAGTATCACACCACAGCTAACGTTCTTGTGAGTGATTGCTAAGATATCTGATCTTGTAAACCCAATAGAACATAAGTAAGCTATGTAATCCACCGGTTCGATATCGTAAACCAACCCCGGGTTAATCGCCTTAACCGGATTCACATGCCCTGCTCCAATAGCAAACACACCCGCTGGTTTGTTCCCATCCCTTATCTCTTTCCCTCTACGATCATACAAATCAGCTGTCGTCATCAACGCTGATCTGATAGCAGCAGGAGACCAGTTCGGATACGTAGACCGGATAAGAGCAGTGATTCCACTAACATGTGGACAAGACATTGAAGTTCCCGACATGACAGTGAAGTTAACTCTTCTTGAGTCATAAGGAAGCCCCGTTGGTCCAAGATTCTGAGGCCAAGCTGCAATGATATTAACCCCGGGAGCGATCAAATCCGGTTTAAGTATCGAAGGGTTAGCCAAACTCGGTCCTCTCGCTGAGAACTGAGCCACTTCAGGCGCTCTTGACCTCCCAATAACAGTCCCACCAAAAATTAACCTAGCTTTTGGTTTTACCGTGTCCTTCACGTAACCTTTCAAAATCACAGACTCTGCGTAGCCTATCAACGTAGATGGGATTAAATGAACGTCTACAGAATCTTCCTCTTGGTTAATCTCAGTGTTGGCCAAGATCATCGCAACACCACCAGCTTCTTTAACGGCTTGTCCTTTCTCTGATCTTCCGTTAACTCCACGGTCACATATCACCATCTTGCCTTGGATTGTCTCCTTTGGAAGTGAACCTCTGAGACAAAACTCACTTCCTTTGTCTCCCCCCGTGACGTAAACAACTTCGAGCTCTCTCTCAGCTTTCTTTAAACCTTTCCCTGGATACAAAGACTCTCCGTAGAGTAGCTTCCCATTAGCTAACCTAACCACACCTGGAAACTTTCTATCAACCGTCCCTGCTCCCACCGTTGAGACCCAAGGAGCTGTGTTTGCAACCGAGCTTGTAATAGGACCGTTGTTACCAGCAGCACAGACAACAGCGATCCCATGTTCCGTGGCTCTGAAGGTACCAATGGCTATAGTGTCATCATACAAAGGGATAGGGAAACCGCCAAGAGAGAGTGAAAGAACATCGACTTTATCTTGAATCGCTACATCTATCGCTGCGAGAATGTCTGAGCTGTAACAACCATTGAACCAACAGACTTTGTAAACAGCTACATGAGCTCCAGGTGCCATCCCACGAGCTACACCAGCTCCATTGCCAAGAACACTCGCTGTAGAAACAGAGGAGCCACCAGCTGTTGAAGCAGTGTGAGTGCCGTGTCCTGTTGAGTCTCTTGCGGATATGTATTCGCGTGGCATGTTTGGTGATTCTAAAGGAGAGTTGGCTACACGGTGGCCTCTGATGAAGAATCTTGCACCGATTAGTTTACGGTTACAGCTCGAGGAAGTGAAACTCTCTCCTTGTTGGCAGACACCTTTCCATTTACTTGGGATAGAAGGCATCCCTGTATCGTCAAAGCTAGGGCTCTCTGGCCAGACTCCTGTGTCAAGAACGCCGATGATTGTGCCTTGACCGGATCTTGATTTAGACCATACATTGGAGCTTCCAGGACCGTTGAGTCCCAAGAATTTGTAAGAGTAAGTGGTTTGAACTTGGAGAACATGGTCAGGTCTTACTGCAACAACTTCAGGTAAGTTTTTTAGGGTTTCAGCTTCTGATTCGGTTAACTGAGCTGAGAATCCTTCCATGGCAGAGTCGTAAGAGTAGAGAATCCGTGAAGAAGGGGAAGAGCCTTCTTCTTCTTGAACACCTAGAACAGATTCTTGGAGAAAAGAAAGATGCCATTCTAACTTTGAGGGAAAGGCTTTAGCTGCTTGGGTGTTAGGGTGAAGCTGAATAATGTAAGTCTTTTTCTTCATGGTTTCTGAGGAAGAAGAAGAAAAAGAAGAAACAAAGAGAAGAAAGATAATGAAGACAAAGAGAGTTTTGTGTTCCATTGTTGCAGAGAAGAAGTTTTGTTTTAGTGTTGTGGTTTTTGAAGTGCATGGTTGTGAAGGTATTTAAAGAAGAGTGAAGAGGATTCAAAAGATGGGATACGGATTCAAAAGAAGAAGAGGATGTAGCTCGTGAGGAGTAAGAGCTCTTCATCACGAGTTTCATTTGTAATGTTGCAGAGGTAAAGAGCTCTCTCCTACCGCTCTCTTTGTTTTTTTCTTTGAGAGTTTCAAAGCTTGGGGGAAAGGACATGAAGCTATTAAGTGGAACTGTTGAAGCTGTTTAAGGTTTTTCACTTATAAGGGTTACTGACTTACTGTCTCTGTCTCTGTGTCATTGTCTCCTTTGGGAGTTCTTTTGTTCACGAGATGTTCTGGTTAGAGTTTATTGCATTGTTGTATTAGTTTACAGTTTATTTGGTTGGTTAAACTTAATCAAACCCGAAATTTAAAACTTAAAACCATATGATATGCTATTTATTAAAATAAACGATCATCAATGGGTTTAAAATAAATAAAAATGATATCAATCAACCATAGGCTATTTTGTTTATGAATACTCCCAAGTTTTTTTTTAAATAAACTATGTCATCTCTTTAATAGTAGTAAAAAATGTGACCGTTGAAGCCTTGAAAGAAATTTAATGCAGCAGCGGGTTGAGTATTCACTTCACTACGTGCATTTATACGTGCACGCTGCACACGCCTCGTCTTTCCCCTCGGGTACTGCGTCGTCTCTCTTATTGGGCTCTATTTGATGATTCCAGGCTCAATTAGTGGCCCATTTACATTACTGCCTTGCGTTGTTGAGTATAGTAAATACTTAAATACCAGTATTTGATGATAGACATGGATTAAGATGATGTTTGTTTAAGATTTGTTCACTGCTTCATGGTGATTGGTGTGATTTATATTACAAGATAACAATGAATAATAATCACTTCTAAACGGAAAAAAAATAAGAAAACTGTTTTGCAGATTATCATTAACATTTAAAAAGATCACCACAGAAGCTGCTATGTGTTCTTCCTTACAAAAAGGTGTCTTTCAATGTTTAAAAGAACAGCTTTAAAAAGTATAATATGAGCGCGAAGACTGCATCATGTCATTCTTTTTTTTCTTTCTACCCAGTGGAAACTCTCTCTCTCTTACTTAGAGACTTTAAGCTTTTGTCACATTTTTTCAGTTTTTATGTTCTCTTGAGAAAACAAACCCCTAACCTCAATTTTTTTAACATCAATGATCACAAGTCAGGCATCCCACTAGATCTTGAGGAATATTCGCTCACCAGTTTCAAGAACATGGATGATTTGTCTTCTAAGAGCCGTGCAGGAGTATCAAACTCTGCTACTCTACCTGCAACCACAAAACAACATTGAATTATATGAAGAACAAATACATATGTCTTGGTACTGTAATATAATATAAGATGATGACCAACCGTCGCTGAGAACCAAAACAAGGTCACTGTCTATAACAGTTGGGATTCGGTGAGCAATGGTGCAGACTGTGCAGTCTTCAAACTCAGTTCTGATAATCTTCTGGATTAAATTGTCTGTTGCTGTGTCTACTGATGCTGTTGCTTCATCAAGAACAAGTATTTTTGCTTGTTTAAGTAATGCTCTCCCAAGTGACACAAGCTGTCTCTGCCCAACACTCCAGTTATCTCCATTTTCCAGCACTAAAACCAGTTCATGTTTCAAATCCAAGAATCAGTACAAAGAAGCGAAAAGATTTATAATATAAGGACCTTATTGGTGCAATTAGTTACCTGGAGAGTCGAGTTTTAGATCTTTCCCTCTAACAACGTCCCCAAGCTGGGATTTATCAAGTGCCTCCCAGATTTTATCATCTGAATGTTCTTCAAGAGGGTCAAGATTTGCTCGGATTGTTCCTTCAAACAATGTAGGATCTTGAGGTATGATACCGAGGCGACTACGGAGATCATGAAGACCAATTTGAGAGATATCAATGTTGTCTATAAAAATTCTTCCAGCAGTTGGCTCAATCAACCGAAACAAGGCTTGAATCAAAGTAGACTTTCCACTTCCTGTTCTTCCAACAATACCAATCTTTTTTCCACCAGGGAACACACAGCTTATTCCGTGGAGTACCGTTGGAAGATTCTCAGCATAACGAACCTTGAAAGGAAGAACAATACAATAAGAATACATTGAAAGAAACAAAAAGAGAGTGCAGAGCTGTATTGTTTAGTACCTTAACATCAAGCAGCTCAATAGTTCCTCTTTCAGGCCAGGTAGTAGGTGGTCGGGAATCTTCTATAACTGCTGGGGCTTCTCCTAAAAGCTGACTGTACTGATAAATTCTCTCGATCGAGATGATTTTGTTTTCAAGCTTACAAAAGCTAAGTATCCACCGTGATAGACGTCCATTCAAGTTAAGCCCATATGTCACAGCAAGCCCTGCCATACCTATATCACAACACAAACAGCTAGATTAGGAACTATGGATTGCTATTTCGCCAAAGGAGATAGAGATACTTACTTGGATCAATGGTTCCATGTGGGAAACTAACGAGCAAAACCATACAGAAAGCAAATACTAGTGTGGAAAGTAACTCCATGCGTAAACAAAGCCACTCTATTGCAGCGATACTGCAGAAGAAAGGTCGAGCAAAACAATCGAGAAGATAAAGATTCCTCTTGATGAATCTTTTTTCCTGACCAAATCCTCTTATTGTGGCTGCACCAGCTATTGATTCCCCAAAGAGATGGATTATTGGAGACTTCTGGATACTAACAATGCGAACCAGTTCTCTTGAAGAAGCCATGTAATATTTCTGCATCCAAAAGCAAGCAACTGCTACGGGAACAACAAGAAGGAAAACTTGCCAGGTCACGTTGGTCATTACACCGACGATTCCAAATAGTTGTATCGTTGTTGAAGCAAACCCACCGAGTCTAAATGGTATGTCAAGGTCCACAACGCTTTGATCAATAGAAACCTGTGCACCAGTAAAATTGCCAAAAATCAGAAGGTGGTAATAACATTTTTAGTTAGGATTTTGGTTTACATATATCATCACATCTAACATACTCGATTCAAGATTCTTCCTGCTGGAGTGGAATCAAAGAATGACATTGGCGCTCTGAACACACTTCTAAGCATGTTCAAGAACAGCTTCTGAGCAGCAGCTAGACCAAAAGTTGCAACCAGAGCAGCTCGTACAAATATGAACAAGGCACTTCCAAAAGCTAAGGCTGTATAAACAACGAGAAGAACTGTAGGATTCACTTTAGACTGGTCACCTTCAGTTTGAGGATTCGCCCAAGCCATCCACCAATTACTAGCAATCTGGAGAAACTGGAAAGAAGCTTGTGCCAGTATAATCAAAGGAATCAGAAGCCCTTTATATGCTGCTCCCATGTATGACAAGTACACCTTCATGCTGATTTTTCCCTTCACTCTCTCTTCTTCTTGAACAAGCTGCTTTTTGCGGGAACGTTTTGCTTTCTTCTTCTTCTCTTTCATTGCCTTTTGATCTGAAACAGATCCACCATCTTGAACTTCCTTTGCCAGAGTCTCAATGTCGTTTTCATAAATATCTGACTTTGAATTATGCATGACCAAACTGTGGAGGATTGGATTTTCATCAAAGTCTTCTGAGGATGGACTTGGGATGTCCATTGCCTCGATTGCTTCATGGTGGGCAGACACTAAGGCCTTAAAATCAGTACCTGCTTGGAGCAGATCATCGTATTTACCCGATTGAATAACTCGGCCTTCCTTCATAACCTTTGAAACAAAACAATAAAAAAATATTTTCAGAACTTGTCATAAGAAAATGGTTTGAATACCCCTTCAACAGTTTTACCTCTCTGCAACAATAGAGACAAGTTCATCTTAGCTCGTAAGCTAAACACCTATAAGAGACTCTTTAGCATTTCTAAAAGGACCAACAGTAGCCGAAGTTAAAAGGGTAGCAAAATGTGGAGAAAAGGAGTTTCTTACCAATATTAGATCAGCTGCAGGAAGAAACTCAACTTGATGCGTCACAAAAACCACAGTTTTCTCAGCCAATGCAGTTAGAATGTAATCCTGTATAGCCATTAACCACCACGTTATGCAAACATTCACACTCAATATATGAAAATGTGAAATGTGCTTATCGAAATTGCTTATTACCCTAAACAAATCAGAGCTAGTGTGTGCATCAAGAGCACTGAAAGGATCGTCTAGTAAGTAAATGTCAGCATCTTGATATAATGCCCTTGCAAGTTGTACACGTTGCTTCTGGCCACCGCTGAGATTTATGCCTCTCTCTCCAATAATCGTCTGGTCACCATGTGAGAAAAGCTCTAAATCTTTCTTCAGGGAACATGCTTGTATCACATTCTTGTACTTTGCTTTCTCCATTGGACTGCCAAATAGAATGTTTTCTTCAATGTTACCAGACTGAATCCAAGCCGACTGAGACACATAACCAGTAGTACCACATATTCTAACCTATATAACAATTATCATCATAAAGATTAATAAAAAAAATTCAGAGAAAAATAAAGAAGTAACAGAGGAACCGAGACAATAACTTACTTCACCAGAGATTTTTGGGATTTCTCCGAGGATGCAAGAGATGAAACTTGATTTTCCAGAGCCAACTGTGCCACATACAGCCACGCGCATACCTTTCTCTACTTTCATCTGAATCCCAGATAATGTTGGCCTTGAAGAAAACGGATCCCAACAAAACACACCATCTTTAATCTCTATGGCTATATTTGAATTCCCACGTGGAATAACAACAGTTGCATCTTCTTGAAGCTCTTCCTCCTGCAAGAACCCGGAAATCCTATCAAGAGAAACCTTTGTCTGAGCCATCATTGAAACCAGATCAGGAAAGTTCCTAAGTGGCTCCTGGAGAATTCTGAATGTCGCCAGAGCAGAAAGAACACCTCCAGCTGTTAGTTGAGTGCCTAGGAATATCGAAGTAGCGAATGTAACTGCGGATACAAAGATTGGAGAACTCCAAAAGATGAAGGT